GGCGGCGCAACCGCGAGGCAGCTCTAGTGCGAAATCAGCCTGTGTCTAATTTTGGCTGGATGAGAACTACTTCAAACGTTGTTTGGATTTTTTGCCGGTCCGTCCGACGACCCACAGAGTGGCAGAGAAAAGGCTCAAAGAAACAAAACCTGAAGTTATTTGTGAAGTCCCAAACAGACCTAGGCAGATTGTGTTTGTAAGAGAAGTATGTGGTAAGGCGCGACCGAGTAACACATCCATTGAAAATGCATGGTATGTGATGCAAGGCACACACCGGATACAGAAGCAAGCTCATTTGCAATGGAGACACAGCCCGGCTCTCCTGAACTCCCGGCTCCCAGTAACCAATGATCCAAGAGAAGGGGGTAAAAGCGGTTGAAATACAGCCTCCACGAAAGGCCATCTGAAACCCTTCTGTTCCCACGGAGTGCAATTGTGGGTCTGTCTGGGAAAGGGTGCAAGTAGTTTTCAGTCATGGATGAGCAGATCTTCCCTATTTAATGTCTTCTAATGTTCATTTATATTCTTTTCAATGGTTTCTCCTCTTTGCATTGTGGGCTTTGTCGGCATTGTGTGTGCACGTTGTATTGTTTTTGTACACTATTGATATGGGTTTTTTTTAATGCCTTCAATGTACGTAATTTGTGTGATATGCGTAGAATGTGTGATACAGATTTATGGATGCACAAAATAACGCTGGGAGATGTTTATGTTTCTTGCCAGAATTAAGTGTGAGGAAAGGGGAGATGGGCATGATAACAGACTCAATTCACACGAGGGAGTTGTAAAATTGAAGTGTTGAGGGGTTTTTAGTTGACCCAGAGCGGGCAAGGACTTAGAAATCACCCCTTAATTCAGCCTCCCTTCTTAGGCCTTTCTATCCTTCTGCGCTAAATGCTCACTAATGAAGCCAGAGGCAATGAGACGACGCTGGGCAATCATTTACCTACATTTCCTTCCCAGCCGCCCCTTTGCTTCTGAGAAATATAATCCAGGAGGTTTCCTTTACAAAGCAGGCAGAGCACATGAATCCCACGCATTGTGGTGTGCATAGCAGGAGTGGTTCTGAAGTCGGCACTGCGGCAGACACTCACACACCCCATCTCCAGTTTGATGTAGTGGTTAAGAGCGTGGACTCTAATCTGGGAGAACTGGGTTTGATTCCCCACTCCTTCACATGCAGCTGCTGGTGTGACCTTGGGTCAGCCATAAGTTCTTTCAGAGCTGTTCTCTCGAGAGCAGTTCTCAAAAGAGCTCTCTTAGCCCCACCTACTTCCCAGGGGGGGGTCTGTTGTGGGAAGGGGAAGCAGGTTGTAAGCCGCTCTGAGACTCCTTCAGGTAGTGAAGGGCAGGGTATAAATCCAATCTCCTCCTCCTCCTCCTCCTCCTCCTCCTCCTCGGGTAGCTCATACCTTGTGCACAGAGCCTGCATTTAAACAAGCCGTATGCATATAGCCCCTGAATGCATTAGCCCCACCCCCAAACAGCCTACTTGTGTGACATCACATGGAAGTGATGTCATCACGCCAGGGGCGTCGCATGGTGACGCTCTAGCATTTTGGGCAAAACTCTATGGTTACCATAGAGTTTTGCCCCAAATGCTAGAGTGTTGCCATATGACACCCCCCCCAGCGTGATGATGTCACTTCTGTGTGATGTCATTGCATCCGCGGCATTCCCCCACCCACCCCACTCCTGGAAATCGGTGTCCCAACCCCGCTGGCAGGGTAAGTCGACCTGGCAGCCCTAAATTTGTTTTCAACCAAGAATTCTGCGCCCAAGATGGGAGGAGTCACGGACAAGCTTGGCTGAAGTACGTAACATTTCTGTGCCACCTTTTACAGCATATTATTCCGTAGAGTTGGGACTGGGCCATTGTGGGGTAGTGGCCGACATGTTGGATGACGAGTTGGGAGACTCAGGCCCAACTCCCCCACTCAGCCATGAAACTCATTGGACCTGGGTCCAGTCACTCTTTCTCAACGTACCACACAGGATGGTTGTGTAGTACGAGCGGAGGAGGAGAAGAAGAGTTGGTTTTATACTCTGCCCTTCACTGCCTGAAGGAATCTTGGAGTGGCTTATAAACACCTTCCCATCCTCTCCCCACAACAGACACCCTGTGAGGTAGGTGGAGCTGAGAGAACTGTGACCAACCCAAGGTCTCCCAGCTGCCTTCATGCAGAGGAGTGGGGAATCAAACCCGGTTCTCCAAATTAGAGTCCTGCCGCTCTTAACCACGACACCAGACTGGCTCTCAAGAGCAGGGGTCATTTCGTAGAAAAAGAGGTGCAGGAGCTCATTAGCATAACTCACTAGCATAAGTTATTTGCATGTGCTACACCCCCTGACATCACTGGTAGTGTGTCAGAAGGCAACACCCGCCGCTCAGGCTCCATTGGACTGTTTTGGATTGCTAGCTATTGGGGGGGGGAACGTGCAGATCTGTCCTCGCAGAGGAGGGAGAGCTCGTACCTGAATGAAACTTGGCCTTAAAGGTGCCACTGCACTGTTTTGGATGGGGGGGGGCGCTCTGCAACTTACCTGGCTGCTTCTTGCTCTGACTGAGGGCTGCTGGGAGCAGGGGGTGGGGCTTATTGCATGTGCCCGCCTCCTGGGCTTCTTACTGCTGGAGCTCCGCTCCTGTGCGCTCCTGCAGGAAATGACCCCTGCTCAAGAGAGCTATTTAGACTGCCCTGAGCTCCCTGGAGAAAAGGCAGAGGACAAAATGTGGCAGGAAGAATGAACCTCTTCCAGCTGCCTTTAATTACCGAGAGCCATCCTTGTTTGCTGGTACTCATCCCTGTCTTTTGAAGACCTGTTTTTTAAGTGTGAATTGCTAAAGCGGGATGTGTTCAGCTCCTTCCCGAGATGTCTGAGAAGCTGGGGGAGAGGTTCCCGCATAGTGTCTTGTCAGGCACGTACTTGTTGGCAGGGATGCATGAACCCTGGAACACTGTGTCATGCGCGTGCGCTTCATGTGCCGCAACGGCTGAAGTGCACTTTGAAACACTGATCACACGCTGTGGAACACGAATCCCTGAAGAAAACATACCTTGCTTCTGCAGAACACACTTTTCTTGCCACAGTAAGCTCTGTTGTTGCTGCATAATTGAATGCAGCGCAGACTCCTCACATGTTGTATAATCTGGGGAGGGTAAGGGAGAGCAGATTCAGGCAGTGATCCTTGATAGGACACGGTCCACAAAAGCCAGAGGTTGCATTGTGGGCAACTGTACGAAAGTGTAATGCTTCTCTTTGTCCGGTGTCTTGGGCCGAGGTTGTCATGGAGGAATACGAGCATCCTCGCTTAGCTAGTGTGGTTGAGCTTCATGTTCTTTGTACCCTCTCCGCTTTCGTCTTTACCAGGGAGCTGTGAGCCGGGTGGGGGTGGGGGAGGGGGTGGGAGGCGAGCTTGCGTAGAGGAGCTTTCATGCAAATGATAAGCAGGCCCAGCAGTTAAATCTTCAGCTGACACATTAATGAATTTCACAGCACGCCTGGAAAAACTCTCACCGAGGCCTTGATTTGACCAGAGGACTGAGGAATTGGGGGGGGGGGCTGAGGGCAAAGGAGGGTGTCTGCGTGTGTATATAGAGCAGGAGGAGAAAATCTTGTTCCGATTCTCTTTTTGCAAGAGGGTTAAACGGGAGCTGCAGTGCTGGTTCCTTTTTTTATTCCTCTTGCCCACTTGGATTCCTTTGTTTTTTAAAAAAACATCTCAGTTTCTGTGGCTAATAAGAGGAGAGGGGGGACGAGGGGTGTGGAGGAAAGGGAGGCAAAATGGCTCTAGCAGCTGTCTCCAGTGCTGCTTTTCTGCCGCCGCTCCCCACCCCCCCATAACCTGGCCACAGCTGGGCACTGTTCATGCGCCTTAATGGCTCTGGCAGGGAACAGAAGAAGGGACATCCCAACGCTGAGCTCGAAGCGGGTGGTCTTCTTGTGGGCTCCCGGCTGGGCTTTGAGTTAGCAGACTGCTGGGAAGGATCAGGAATCTGTAGGCCTGGAGAACTATTTGCCATTGTCCTCCTTTTCCCCGTGGGACCCTTCGTCTGCTCCTCTCAGAGTTGGGCATGTTCTGATTATAATCCCATGTTGCCGATCAAGGAAGTCTTTTCATCAAGAACTGTAGTAAACACACAGCATTGACAAGTCCTCCAGCTCCCCTGGCTTAGTAGAGACAGTCTCCCTTTTTCTGGGCCCTCGTCTCGGACAAAAATGGTTTCACCCGTTGTATTGGATCCTTGGAGAAACGACGACCGAGGGGTGACATGATTGAGGTTTATAAGATTATGCATGGGAAAGAGCAGGTAGAGAAAGAGGTACTTTTCTCCCTTTCTCACAATGCAAGAACTTGTGGGCACTCCATGAAACTGCTGAGCGGTCGGGTTAGAACGGATAAGAGGAAGTACTTCTTCACCCAAAGAGTGATTAACACTTAGAATTCACTGTCACAGGAAGTGGTGGCGGCTACAAGCATAGACGGCTTCAAAAGGGAATTAGATAGGCATATGGAGCAGAGGTCCATCAGTGGCTATTAGCCACAGGGTATAGATAGGGGCTCTGGGGCAAGTGATGCTCTGTTTTCTTGGTGCTTGGGGGGGCCAACAGTGGGAGGGCTTCTAATGTCCTGGCCCCACTGGTGGACCTCCTGATGGCACCTGGTATTTTTGGCCACTGTGTGACAGAGTGTTGGACTAGATGGGCCTTTGGCCTGATCCAACATTGACGTCTCTTATGTTCTTATGAAATCGATGGGCGGGCGGTTTAGGAGCGGGGGGGGGGGAGGAACAGATTTCTTCACACAGTGTATGATAAACCTTTGGCAGTGGGCGCGTGTGTGTCATCACCTTCGTTAGCTTTAACACTGGATAATATTCTTGGAGGCTAAGTCTAGCAAAGATCAGAATGGCTCAATGGAACCTCCTCCTTCAGAGGCAGTCGCCGTCTGAAAACCAGTGGCCGCCTTGCTTCCATCTGTTTCCTCTTCTCCTTTCCAGCTTGCAACTGTAACCTTCATGCCCGCCGCTGCCGATTCAACATGGAGCTCTACAAGCTCTCCGGGCGGACGAGCGGAGGCGTCTGCCTCAACTGCCGCCACAACACCGCTGGCCGGCACTGCCACTACTGCAAGGAAGGCTTCTACCGGGACATGAGCAAGTCCATCACTGACCGCAAGGCCTGCAAAGGTAAGGGACCTCTCCTGACGCTCCCGCCCACAGTTGCATTCAGGTGCTCAACAGATGCGTGGGAAAGAGGGATGGAGGCTGCACTCAGTCCCGTCTGCGAGTGTGACATGTTGTCTCCTGCCAGTCCTACCTGCCCGGGATTATCCATCTGTGACTCTTTGGCATTTCTCCTAATCCCCCATTCCCTTTGCCCAGCAGCAAGTGTCTTTGATGTGCCGATACCTCCTGGCCGGCATTCCCTCTAAGCTGAGTTCGTGTGAGCTAGCTCACAGTTTTGTAGCCTCCGGCTCACACATTTTTGTCTTAGGGAGGATGGCTCCAGAGCTAACTAATTTATGCGGTGGCCCAATCGCCCACTCACAACTTTCATGCCAGTCGCTCGCAAAGTAGGATTTTAAAAAAAAATTTACATTTTTATTTTAAACAGTAAAAAGAACAAAACACAGTGATAACAAATATCGACAGTAGAATTAGATAAGGTAATAATGAATGTAAGGAGCTGCGGTGGCTCAAGTGGTTAAGACGCTGAACTGCAGGCTGTGGAAGGTCAGTGGTTCAGACGGTCAAAGCCCGGGCGCGCCTGGGGTGAGCTCCTGTCTCTAGTTCCAGCTCCTGCCAACCTAGCAGTTCGAAAGCAAGAAATTGCTAGTAGATAAATAGGGACCACTTCGGTGGGAAGGTAACAGCGTTCTGTGCGCCTTGGTGTTTAATCATGCCGGCCACCTGACCACGGAAATGTCTTCAGACAGCGCTGGCTCTTCGGCTTGGAAACGGAGATGAGCACCGCAACCCTAGAGTCGGATTCGACTGGCTTTCGAGCAAGGGAACCTTTACCTTTACCTTTAATAATGAATGTAGAAGCGCTGTGCAGAAAGGTTTACATGCATTGAAAAACTTCATTGTATTTTTGCTCAGAAGACTCCACAGTTTAGAGAGAGCATTGCTCCTGACCCTGCCTCCCAAGGAATATTTATGGTGCTCCTGCAATTTTTTATATCCTTAAAACTTACATAAATGATAACTATAATCACAAGATGCCTGTAAACATACCAATGCCTTTCCTGGGGAAACTGGGCATCTTGTTTCTGTCGTGTTGGGGAGACCCAGGTTCTTTGACAGAGTCACTGGTGGGACATAAGACGTGAAAAGCTGAGAACTACTCTTATAGATGACTATCAGAATTGGGCATCATTCTCCTTTCCTCTGACTGTATCTTTTTAAATATTTAGTCACTATGTACGCAGCTTCCCTGTTTATTGATTTAACAGATGGCACATGTTGTTTTTGCATGATACATGCATGAGTCACAAAAGTCATTATTTCAGAAGAGGCATTCCCAAGAGTAAGGATGTGGAACACGTCGTCTAATGCCCTGCCTGACATGCAGGGACTAGAAAGCACTTAAATTAAAAGTAATTAATAGTTTTTAAAAAACACACTGCTGCCCGACCAGTCTGGGGGCCTTATAAAAACTGCTTCATCTCAATCACTGACTGTGCCACCCTAAGCAGAGTTAGATCCGTCTGAGTCAATTTAAATCAGTGGGCTTAGAGGGCCAGCACTGTAGATGACTAAAGATATTATCGACATTAGCTGTATTTCACAGCCGTTGTGTTCTTCCAGCTCACTTTGCGGTTTGGTTCACACGACTTGAGAGGTGATATGAAAACCATCTTCACGTACTTGAAGGGCTGTCAGATAGAGGATGGTGTGGAGTGGTTTTCTGTTGCCCTAGAAGGTCGGACCAGAAACAATGGGTTGAAATTAAACACATTTGATACGGTCGACCACCAGCTGCTGGCCCACCGCCTTGCCGACGTGGGGATTCAGGGGCTCGCCCTTCAATGGCTTGTCTCTTTTCTCCAAGGTCGGGGACAGAGGGTTGGGTTAGAGGAGCAGCAGTCCCGGAGGCACCTGCTTGAATGCGGAGTGCCCCAGGGGGCAGTACTCTCCCCGATGCTATTTAACATATACATGCGCCCCCTCGCCCAGATTGTCCGGAGGTATGGGCTTGGGTGTCATCAATATGCCAATGACACCCAGCTCTATCTGATGTTGGGCGGCCAGTCGGACTCCGACCCAGAAGATCTTCACCGGGCTTTACAGGCCATGGCTGGGTGGCTCAAGCTGAGGCGGCTGAAGCTGAACCCGGCGAAGACGCAGGTCCTGTGCCTGGGTCGGGGTGGTATGGGATTGGGGCTCCCGCTCCTGGTCTTCGATGGGGCACCTTTGGTGCCAGCTTCGGAGGTTAGGAGTCTGGGAGTGCTCCTGGACCCCACCTTAACGATGGAGGCCCAGGTGGCGGCCACTGCCAAAGCAGCCTTTTATCATCTACGGCTGGTGCGGCAGTTGGTCCCCTTCCTTAGCCGCGGCGATCTGGCCACAGTGATCCATGCGACGGTCACCTCGAGGTTAGACTACTGTAGCGTTCTCTACATGAGGCTGCCTTTGTCGCAAATTCGGAGGCTGCAGCTGGTGCAGAATGCGGCGGCCAGGTTGGTAGCGGGTGCCTCTAGATGGGACCACATCCAACCTGTGCTGAAAGCGCTGCACTGGCTGCCTATAGCGTTCCGGATTCGCTTCAAAGTGCTGGTGCTTACCTTTAAAGCCCTACATGGCCAGGATCCGGCATACCTGAGGGACCGCCTTTCCCCACACAGGCCCCAAAGAGCACTTCGGTCGGGGTCACAACCCCGCCTAGTGACACCGGGCCCCAAGGGGGCCAGGCTTGCAGCCACAAGGGCTAGGTCCTTTTCGGTGGCGGCTCCTACCTGGTGGAATGAGCTCCCGGAGGAGATCAGGGCCCTGCAGGACCTGGTACAGTTCCGCAGGGCCTGCAAGACGGAGCTCTTCCGCCAGGCTTTTGAGTAGGAGCCGCCACCGCTACTACCACCACCGTGCAACTGCAGAGCAGTTCCGCCACGTCGGGCTGACTGGCCAGCCGAAATATCGTGGCCCATGGCATCCCCCCCCTTTTTTGACCCCATTGGGATATGCAGTAGGGAGTTTGTAGTCATTATGTATCCTGTGAGATGTGCATTCTTGCCTAAACTGGTTTAACTGTCGACTTTTACTGCACTTGTGCCTTAATTGTTTTAACTTGTTGTATTTTTATTGACCTTTTGTGCCTGTGTAAGCCGCCCTGAGCCCGCGTGCAGGGAGGGCGGGATATAAATGAAATTAAATCAATAAATAAGTAAATAGTTTCCACATGTTACATGGAACGCTGTGGTTGAGCGGTTCCTCAGTGGAACAGGCTTCCTCGGGAGGTGGTGGGCTCTCCTTCTTTGGAGGTTTTCAAAGAGAGGCTAGATGGCCATCTGACAGCAATGCTGATTCTGCGAACTTAGGCAGATCATGAGAAAGGAGAGCAGGAAGGGTGGCCTCAGTGCTTAGTTCTCGTGGCCCTTTCTTACAAGCCTAGGGAAATGCTGATCACCACTTTAGGGTCAGGCCAGTTTTGCCCGGGATCCTGTAGGTTTTTCCTCATCTTTTGGGCGTGGAATATGGATCACTGGGGATGGGGGGGGGAGGTATTTGTGAATTTCCTGCCTTGTGCAGGGGGTTGGACTAGACTACCCTGGAGGTACATTCCAAATCTTTGGTTCTACGATTCTAATGCAAAAGCATGGTTTGTTTTAACAACGGTCAGCTTGCGAAGCCAGGATTCAGCTGAATTGTTTATATCCTGGATTGCCTGGATAAGTGCTGTTGCCACTATTTTCACCGTTTTCTCCCTTCCTACTCCACAGACCCACTGGTGTCCCAGAATGAATTGTGGTGAGGGCAGTACTAGGGACATTAAGCCAGGGTGTCTGTGTTTGGGCAACATGGTTCATGTCAGGGCTTTTTTTTTGTAGAAAAGGGCCAGCAGGAACTCATTAGCATAACAGGCCACACCCAACAGCAGGAACTCATTAGCATATTGGGCCACACCCCTGATAGCACAGCTTATTGGCATATTAGGCCACACACATCCATGTTACCAGAAGTGTGGTCATCCAGCCACACCCACCTTTTGCTCCTTATTCTGTTCACCTTGTTTGTTGTCCAAACCCAGGGCTTTTTTTGTAGCAGGAACTCCTTTGCATGTTAGGCCACACACCCCTACTGTAGCCAGTCCTAATGAGTTTCTGCTGTTGGGTGTGGCCTATTATGCTAATGAGTTCCTGCTGGGCATGGCCAACTCGGGAGCCAGCCGGAACTCCGTTCCTGTGCGTTCCTGCCCAAAAATAGCCCTGGCTCATGTAATGTTTGAGCTAAACCTATTGGAGGTGTAGCCATTTTGGCTGAGATAAGGAGCCTGCTGTGTTTTGGAACGGATTCTCTCAAGACTGGGACCGTTTATTTCTCCAGGAGTTATCAGGGCTTAATATATGCCTTGGAAACCCCGGTGTAGTTGTAGGAAAGTAACTGCAAATGCTCTGAGGTGCTGTCTTTGTCATTAATGTTTATTTTCAGATTCTGAGGCAGCGCTTTGCCCCCAAATTAAGTCCTGGAAATCATTACTGTGTGCTAAAGGACATGTGGCTCCAAAACAGTTTTAACAAAAACGAAAATGAGTTGGAAAAGCCTGCTTTTGAATTTAACCACTCTGTGACTGCAGCTCCCAAATCCTCATTTGTGCACTGCAGTGCAATAGAAATTATTTTATCTTTATATTGTGATTCTTGCGACACTGATTATGAAAAATCACCCTGAGAAGGCACTTTTGAAGGATGTTGGACTCTTGTAAATGCCAACACAAAGTGAGACCATGGGAACAGGGTCATCAGAGGACATTTGGTATGCTATCCTAGGGCTGCCAAGTGGGGGCGGGTGGCGGGTAAACCCCCGCTTTGGAGGCCCGATTTCCGCCACCACGGAATTGGGCTCCAGGGGGACTCCGCCCCCCGAAGCGCAGCGTGGCTGTGTCACCAGAGGTGACGCAACCACGTCACTCACGTTGGGGGTGTGGCCCTGATCATCGGAGGGAAAACTCTATGGTTTTCCCTCCGACG